GTGGCTGCCGCAACGTCGCCTCCACACACTGCCAGATATCTGGTAACGGGGTGAGATAAAGGCCTGCTGTGCCGGACGAACCGGGCCGTAGAACCCCTGACGGAGGCGGCTCACCGGCTTCGGTGGCAGTGGTGGGGTGAGCGGTAGCCCTACACGCTCCGCCGCCATGGCAATCACTAAGGGGAAGTCCTTGGTGAAGTCCTGACTTGGTGTGGCCGCCTTATATATGGTGGGCTTGCGCGCGCATTCAGGTAGGCCCGCCCCGAGGGGCCGGCTATGTTATAGATATCTCATTCTCAGTAGGTGAATGCTCGCATAGTATGGTTGAGAGGTAGAACCCATAGAGTCCAGTAGAGGGTGGAGCCTGTGTAAGATATAATGTGTGTTTTTGAGCTGCACCCAGTTTGTAAATCTTGCTCCGTGTAGTTGTTTGTAACATTAGTTGGATTAATATGTTATTTTCTAGGCCTATCCAAATGTGGGCAAAAACAACATCTGCTCACCCTTCCCATTCTACTTTTAAAGGGGACCTATCATGCAAAATGCACTTTGTGATGTCTTTTATACATAAATATGTGTCCCCGGTGCGTCGGGGAACTCACGCAGCGTCAGAATATAAAACCCTCTCTCTTTTCCTCCGTACCCAAATCTTTTAAAAACTGGGGTACAACGAGCAGATACAGATTTGCTGCCGATCTGATGTCAAATCGGCAGCGGACCCACAGAAAATTGCTATCAGAAACAATGCCTGACGTGTTTTGGACGTAATCTCGTTTTTGTTTACATTAGCAAGCCTTGCTAACACTCAGAGCTAACCTGTACTGAAGAGCACATGTGTTTAAAAAGCAGGACATTAAAAAAGGAACTGAGCTTGTGATAAACTCGCAAGAGAAAAAGCATTTGAGCTCCATACTGTTTCAGAAATAATCTTTGATGTGGTTTAGAACAGGATGGCGTTTTATCACAGCAGAATATAACTTTATCCCCGGTAGAATTCTGATCAGGCATTAGCTCCGCCTCCTCTTTATTTATTTTTCAAGCTAAGGACCCAAAATCCGCATTTCTCTAACAAGGGCTGCAAAAGAGGGGTATGAGCAGTACCGGGTTGCATTCCAATAGTCCATTTAGCTTAGGAACCTACCTAACGGAGTGAAATGACCCGGAAGTACGTCACTGGCAGTCATGATAAGTGCCGTTCCAATTCTCCAAATGAAAGGAAAGGAGGTTTCAAACTTCCTTTATAACCTCCTTTAGCTTAGGAACCACTGGACCTCCCTAACCGAAAGGAGAGGAGAAAATGCTGCCCCACAATGCATTGCAGCCGCAGCATTTGCCGTCACTCAACAGTCGACTGTTCACGGAAACAACCGATTATGACCGAGAAATGATATCATGAAAGTTACGGTGCTTATTAAGCATTTTAAAACGTATGTGGTAAGTTGCCAAAGTGCTTTTTTCTGAACGTTCATCAGTATTATAATCAAAAAGAGAAATATGAACGTTAGTTTTTACTGAAATTATCAAATAAAGGCAACATTTCACAGTGTTCAATGTTCAATGTGTGGGGTTTGTTCAACTTTTAAAAGATGTTTGAATGGTGATATACACAGTGATAGATGTTAAGGACTAACGTTTATAATAAATACATTTGTATTGATTTTAAGATATGTTCATAGTTCATACAATCATACGTATTGGGATCATTTGTATTAATGTGGACCGGAGGGAGAGGGTGACGAGCATAAGTTTCACTTTCCTTTTTTATTTCAATTCCAACTTTGGTCATGAAGAATATGTTTCTCTGTTGTCCACGTTCATAAAGCATAAAGCAACAGCATCAGAGCACGGAGCAGAGTCTCTAGATGAGTTTACAGTAGTCCCTCGTTCTTATTAAACATCCATGTTGTAGTCCGCTGTATAGAAAACTGTAGTTTCCATAGTTTCCCCACAGCAGCAGACGCACATTCATGACGTCCGCGGGCGCATCATAAACACGTCGGATAGTGAAAGTGCATTCGGATTCTCTAAAGTACCGCGGTCCTTTTGAATTCTCCTATCCACTATCCCTTAACCCCGTGACGTTTCACTCAGAGGTCAAGGAATAGGAGATAGGGTTAGAATTTAGGAGCTGATTTTTGGATTATCGGAACGCAACCCTGTATGAGGCATGGCTACAATGGGTGAACTGTTTGATATTTTAAGCAAAACACTTCACAGACATGTTTTGTATAGGTATTGTTAGAAATTAAAATCAATGTTTAATAGCATAATGTAGCTTAAACATACCGTCAGTTTAAATGCTATTTTATTCTGGAAAAACCCGGAAGTTCTCAATACCAAGCTTTTATTCTGAAAATCCTTCATGACGACATCCGGGACTACCGTCCATTAGTATCATTAAAGTGGCTATTGATGCCGTTAACATGTATTACATATAAAGTTATGAAAGAGATAAGGAGGAGAAAAGGCATGTGGAAGTAAGCAATTCATGTAAAATGTCGAAATCCTCTGTTTAACGCGATATCGGATACAGAAGACCGAGGGGGAAGTCTCCTACGTCACTACAGCTCCCAGAGAGGAGGAGCAAACAGCCAGCAAGCGGGAAGGACGAATGCTTGTGAGCTCTCTTTTGGACGGCCGCCATTGGGAGAGGAAGCTGCAGCCTTTCTCTCCTGACTGAACAATCTTCTGTTTGTAACATTACCGCGCCATATTTTTTATTAAAGTAACCATTTGAACCTTCTCAGAGACTCCATTTAGTCTCCTTTTAAAGCTTCTCTCCTGGACACGAGAATAACGAACACAGCATAACAGTATGGCCCTACAATATATATTTCCAATATAGCATAATAGGTCCACTTTAAATTAAAGCAATATTTCCTTCTAACGCAGCAGTAATGTTTTCCACTCTTTACTTTTGGCAGAGGCTAAGTAAAGTAATATTAAAGTAAGGCACATCCTGCATTATTATATAAACATATGTGTCTACCATATTATGATATAACTAATAATCATAATGGCCTACCATGGGGATTTAAATGACAACAGCACATTGTATTGAGGTCATGTTTATTCAGAACAGGTGTGCAGAAATATCTAACTATAGGATAACATTGCAAGGGGTTTATGTTCACTTAAGCAGAAAGAAGAAGAAAACTTGGCCAGTATCATTCAAGCAATACATTTGTCTGGTGGTTAAAGTGATGCTATAGACTAGAGGTATTTGACCTGAAGATGGCGACATCCTCAAACCTTTAAGTGGCTTGTTATTGGTCACACACTGAGCAAAAATGTTTGTTGGACCATACCCCATAATAAATGTTTTGCCAATGTAATCCATCTAAACAAGAACATAAGTAAGTATTAATACAAAGCTAAAATATATAATTTTTCTTTTCTTTTTTTACTCTCTTTACATTTGTATCTGCCTAGAGACTAGAGCTGAAAAAACATTGATGTTATTTTCGGTTCATTTAATAGCAATTTCTAAAATGTATCGACTCAAGTATTTATTTTTGTAGCTTTTGTCCTTCATAAGATGCATCAAATCATATACAGTTTACTACAGTTGTCTAGTTATAGGCCTATATTTAAATGCCAAATGTATTTAAATCATACCTTAAAATGTGCATTTATGCAGACTGACACAACTTTTCAAACAATAATTTGCCTGTTTAAGAAGACTAGTGTATTGTTCAGAGGCCAGGCAGCAGCGATACTGGGATTAATGTCAAGAAAACAGTGTGCCGTTCTGAATGTTACTACTGTAACTACAATCCTCTGTCTGAACCCAGACTCTCCAACAGTGTGTGTGTGTGTGTCACCCAAAGAATAGTTGTATTCATGTCACTGTGTGGACACAGCATGACTGCATGGAGGAGAGGAGGGAGGGATAAAAACAGGGAGGAGGAGAGGAAAAACTACACAGGATTTCGCTGAGGGCAACAGAAGTCCAGTCATCATCTTTTAATAACATTTATATCCTAATGTTTTTTTTGCAAATAACAACACACCCGATGCCATGCTGCCATGTCACACACTTTCCCCATAGCAGAGTGCATGTAGAGCACCAAACAGCTCAGAAAGTGCTGTTGAGATGGCAGTCTGAACTTTGAACTGTACTCTGTGTTCCACTCTGTTCTTCCTGCTGCACTTTGGCCTACTGACTGTTGTGCAAAGTGGACACAACAGCATCACATTGTTGTCACAGTAAAACAAATATTCAGTGAAGTTTTTTTCTTTCTTGCATCAAGACTTTATCAGTCGATCATCTTTATTGAATGTTGAGTGAGCGGTTAGTTAGCAATCTTTCTCCCTTCAGACAATTTAAATCCCTGAGGGGTGCCACTGATTCATTTTTATGTAAATTGAGCAAGGCTTAACTGAGGAGTAATAATTATCCACACACATACACGTTTATTCAAGTTGTACTAGGTACAGTTTGTGGTACTTTACTTGAGTGTTTATTTCTACATTTACCCAGACACTCTCAGGTTCCCTGTTCTTACGAAACTAGAATAAAATCATTATCTTACATTCTGTGGTATAGCTAACCAAAGCTTAGTGAAAATAAAATGCCACTTCAACCAGGTACATTGAAATGCTGCTTACATTTCAGGTTGAATAACCCTACTGTACTGTTACTTGAGGATTTGTACTATGTGGTACTACTTTAAGTTGAGAAAGTAAAGTCCTTGAAGGCATCACTGGTCAATAAAATAAGTTAGGTGGTTTGCATTCATTTAAAGTTCATTAATACTAACTTTAAACAGCTTATTATCTTAACTTGTGTGCTGACCGTTTCAAAGCCTTTTTCACAGTAATACTTTACCAGCCACTTCCAAGTAGTCGTCGGATAGTTGAACATTTGTTAAGTCATGCCTCCCTGATTCAGCTGTGTGTTAAAACACTTGTTGACACTCAAGTGATTTTCAACAGAAGGATGTCAAAATCAGGTGACACTTGAGAGTTTTACAACTTTAAGGCAAGACAAAAGGCAGTGCACTTCAATAACCTTTATTTTGTTTACAGATGTATTCCATTTTGAAGTTTGAATGGGGGAGAAGGAGCATTAGTGCTATTTACAATTGGTTTGAAAACTTTTATCTCTGTACAGATTTGAACCCTGATCAATATAAACAATATATTTTTTTAAGACCTAGTGCTGTTACAAAGTGATTCTTTAAAGCAAAAAAACTCAAAGAAAAAAAGGATTACATTAAATTATAAACAAATGAAAAAATAATAAAAGAGAAAATAAAAATACAGTCCGTCGATGATTAGGGAGGTGTTGCTGCTGTTAAGCACAAGACATTGTCAGCGAGTGACAGTGAACTGGCTAGAAGCTAACCGTATACACAATCATGGACTAAACACCAATATACTGTATATCAACAAGATCTAAATTCATCATGTTCTATATAAGATTCATATTAAATATAATCTACACGTTACCTTAGTTTGGAACATTACTTCCATTGGAAAAATATAAAATAAAACAATACAACTTTGTATACATTTTAATTAATCTGATGAAGGAGCACATGCTTCCGTTGTGCAAAATGGACTTACTGTATTAATGCAGAGAGAGAGAATCAAGGAAAGAGTAAGAAGCGAATTAAGACGAATAAGGAACAATTTCATTCCGAGCTAATTTCCCTGCTCAAGAGCAATTTGTCATAGAGATCCTTCACAACACTGTTAGAAAATAAGCACAATGAGCCTTTCCTCACAGAGAGAGGGGATGGTGCATCAGGGAGGGAAGGTAACTGACATGACGTTTCATTTTTTTACAACACTGGGCAGTCAGTAATATGCATGGACTGTCAAAACACAGTCACAAATGTCATGGACAAACAAATAACCAAAACAACACCACCAACACTGGTTGTTTGTCTATTTGTCTGTTTGTTAGGCTTTGTTTGGCTAAGAATATGACGAGTGAAAGAGTAGGATGCATCGGTCTCTACAGCGCCCTGCAGACAAAAAGGAATAATTTCTCTCTTGTGACCTTTAAGGGCAGATGAGGGCAGTAAAAAGGACACCGGTGTGTCTATATATGTGTGTTTGTGTGTCCTGGTTTGAGTTGTCTGATCAGGCACATCTAAGTCTGCTGCACCGAGGGAGATCACACAAGCACATATGGTAGGATGTGTATACAGGATGTCATAGTGTGTGTGTGTGTGTGCGTGCGTGTATGTGTGTTGGTGAGTTGTTAGTGGTTAAAATTGTCAGCGGTCTGTATGAGAAAACAAGGCAACACACAAAATTGGGCACTGCATTACTATGACAACCAGCTGGAATGAGGAGCCAGTTAGTAAAGGTCTTTTGACACACCGTCCAAGGGGGGCTAGACAAAGTGTGTGTGTCTATTGCTTGTATGCGTGTGTACAAGTATGTTGCAGAAGGCTTAAAAAGGTGTGCATTAGAAAAAAAAGGGGAAAAAACACATGCAAATCCAGTTTCTTCCACACATTTTCAGTTATGACAACAAATCAAGTACAACAAAGGAATCAACTCTATTGTTAATCAATTTCCTGCTCTCAACTCTGTGTCCTGAATCAGCCAGAGCCTGCTGTCTTTCTATATGTGTGTGAGTGTGAGAGAGAAGGGGGTAAAAAGAAATAGAGAAGGGTGTGCACGTGTTTGTCTGTATGCATATCCGCACTGTGGACAGGCTCCAGGACAGGGGACAGACTTATTAGGTCCAGGATGTTGAGGGAGAGATCGGATGAGAAGGATGGAGGGCCGGCGGCGGTGGTGTGTATTTACAGAATGACACAGCAGTTACTCTCCCCGGTCTTCTCTCTATTCCTCTGACCTGAAAACACACACACACACACACATCATCATCATCATCAGGAAAAACCCTGGCATACAAGGTCATCATCAAACAATATGCTATGGCCAATCAAATGCATGCAACCATGGACATCTCTGCAGCATGACAACATTTAATTAAAAAACTTATTTGAACCAACATTTCTCTTTTACCAAACATTATGCCTACTGTGAATTGATAGTTGCATTAGACCATGTTTAACAAAACATTGATTAATTGTACACCCCTTCCTTGCAAACTGACTAAAAAGGGGAAAACATGGCTCTATTTGTAGTGTGTTACATGTTGTGGAGCGAGTAACCACAGTAACCATTTGTGCTGCTATTTATTTAAATAACTTACCATTGCCCTTTAATATTTCTTCCCCAGAGGACATGTTTTCTTCTGGGGTTAACATGGGGTAATTATTTATTTGACCTTACCTTGAGTTTATCTTACCCAGAATGCATAGCAAACTGTGGATAGTCAATAAATGTAGCGCTTTGTGTGACCTTAAATGTCCCTCTGATCTCTGCCTATTGTTAGGTTGAATCAGTGCCTGTTCTAAACACACAATCAGCTTCTACTACACAAAAAAGGAGACCAGTCAACTAATATGATTTATATCAGCTGTGCATTGTACACAATGTGCTGTATCTTGGAGATACCCTTAATGGAGCCAATTATTTGCACTGGTGACTGTTCCTTAAACAGAAGCCATGTGTAGAGATAAATAATGTCTGGGAGCGGAACGATTAAAGTGGCTCAGCGTGTGAAAAGGCCTACTGAAAGGAAAGGAGGGCTTGTTACCTTGGGAATTTGGCTCAGGCAAAGTCTCTCTGGCAACTAAATGCATCACTGTGGTCTTCCCCAAGGGCAGTGGGAGAGCTACAGGGGAGAAATACACACACAGAGAGAGAGAGAGAGAGAGAGAGAGAGAGGAGAGAGAGAGAGAGAGAGAGAGAGAGAGAGGTTATTCAGTGAGCTACAGCATGTCTGTCTTTTGTTGCAGAATAATAATCTCTTGCAGGTAACGATTGAAGCAATTCAATTATCCCCTCCCCCCCCCATCCCCTGAGTAACTAAATTCACTGTTGAAATAACTCAGCATGCAGCAAGCAAAGACAGTTTTAAAACGATTTCACTTCCAATCAATAAAGATGATATAAAACACTATGTTTTGTTGGGTTACATATTGTGATGACCTGATCATATGTTACTCATGTAACACATTTTAAATTTAAATTTTAAAATCAGCTATTCACAGTTTTATTGATATATACATCAAGAGTTGATTCATGTAATGAATCAACTCTTGATGTATAGGAACAGAGCAATTTATTTTAACATCACTGCTTCTACATGTATGTATGGCCTTGTGTTGAACAGTCATTTAACCACATCCCAATGTCCTATTTTGAACTTTATGAAAACCCAAAAATAATGTATTTTGATTACTTGTAAATCCCAAAACCTGCTTATTTATACCATGAAATCTGCCTTCACACACGTGGTTCTTTCTATGTTTATATTTCAAAATATAAACATCTACTCGTTGTTTTGGCTCGACTTTAAGAGGATTCTGTGTGGACGTGCAAACGCGTTGAGCCAACGACAAGGGAATTATCAGATAAATGCAGTAATGGGATGAGTGTAAAAGGGTCAGGGACGGCCATAACCCCATTAACAACACAGAACACCAGTCAAACCAAAATTGGGTTAAGTAGACTAAAACGCCTGAATGCCAGGGAGAAGTGAAGTGGGCTGCACTCCTCTTTTTCTCTTCACTTTTCATTTTGACGCCCCCCTCCCTTCCTGTCTCTTTGTTGTGCTGTTTGAGGTCTACTCTAACGCCAGTCTTGCCCCCTTCCTGACCACTCTCTTTCCCCTCTTTTTCTCTATTTCCTCTCTCCTCCCACTCTCCGTCAAAGCAGGCTTGTCCGGAGCACTGAGGTACCTCTGTTCTGCGGCTCAGGAAAAAAGATGAGAACAGCAAAGAACTTTCCAGCAACACACTGCTGTGATTTTGTGTCCATGTCTATGAGCACTTTTTATTTTGGGAGGTGTACTTTCTGTGTTTTCTCACCTCCTAGTGTTACGTTGCCGTGCAGAAAGCGGCCCTGGTAGATCAGCCTCAGGATGATAGGACTGCTGACCTGCTCTCCCTCCCAGTCTGAAAGAAAAAAGCGGCAAAGAGAGAGTTAAAGAGAGAAATCAACAAAGAGAAAAACAGGAAACACGCTTCATATATTTTCTTCACTCTGCTTATATCTTCTAAGTTTTCTTCCTGATTGCCATTGCAAGTTTGTTTGTCTTGATTGCCATTTATTTAATCTATTTCCCATAAATCATCCTTATGTAATCTATCATCTCTAAACTGAGAACTAGTGCTGTAGCGACGCGTCGACGACGTCGACTTCAAAATATCGTCGACGACATATTTCCGCGTCGACGCGTCGCTACACACACGTGGGTCACCCAAAGCAACAAGCAGTTCGCAATCGCACTTCAAACACAATGGAGACTGAAACGGCTACCACCTCCTCCTCACAGGATTGCGCACGAAGCCCCGAAACGAAAACATCTCGCCCTAGGTCTTCAAAAGCATGGGAATATTTTAAAGTTAGTCCAAAACGCAAAGATATTTATATATTTATATCTCACTGAGACTGCTGCATAGCCTAGCAGAAGCAGCAGCTAGCTGTGGTGGCTACCATTAGCAGCTAGCATTTGCTCTCCGATTTTTACATAAAATGGAATTATGGATTATAAATTCAATCGTTTTTTTTATACATAGACGTTAAAAACCTATGGATTAACCGATTCAGCCGCGTTTTTTCTCATTTTATTGCCATTGAACACGTCTTTTGATCAGATTACGGTGGTGAGACGATCTCCCGAGAAGCTCTGTGAAGGTACGTGTTGTGATGACTGTATTTGCTTCCCCTGTCGCGAGTCCGGATCACTCAGTGATGATACTATATACCTACATAATCTGTGGAGTCTCAGCTTTAATCGGATATATTGTATGTGCAGCTACGATAAGTAATAAGGGTACTTTTATCTTGAGTTCTGTGCCAATGTCCGTTAGCATTTTTCGCTCAGGGGTCATTTAGATGCTTCTTATGAGACTTGTGTTTTGTTTTGGTAAACATGGTTTGTATCGTCAGTTAGCTGAGATTATTACCGTTAATCTGGTATAACATATTAATAGGTTCTTAAATATTAAGATCCCCTGAGACACAGTATCGTGAAAAAAAAAATGTTTACATTACGGTTTTTTTACATTACGTTTTTTATGAATTGAACAACAGAAAAATAATCGTTAGATTAGTCGACTAATCGATCAAATAATCGCCCGATTAATCGTTTTCAAAATAATCGTTTCCCCCCAGCACTACTGAGAACATGCAGGTTCAATAAAGACATTTCACAACCTTTTTTATTGCTACCTGTAAAAACCACAAAATAAGTTTCTTATTAAACATTGCTAAAATGTTGCCAATCTCTAGTTTAACAAAAGGACACGAGGGGTTATGAGCTGTTATAGCTGAGTTAATTCAGTGGATATGCATCAACAGTGCAATGAAAAGGAATAATTGCATGGAGAGAGAAAAAAGACCACCAACAACCGCAGTGAAGTTATTTTTAAATCACTTTAAAGCCTTTATTTGAAATCATTACATTCAGAATGTATAATGTGTGGGCTTTGTGGGATGCATAACCGAATGTGAGAAAGAAGGAAAGCAACAGAGGAACAAGGGGTGTGGCCTGGGAAGAGCTACAGACTAAAGTGAAGAAATAAACCCGAGAGCAAACAGTGGGGGGAGTTGCACAGCAGCAGCGTCTGGCCACCAGATGTTTGTCTCCATCTAAACGGAGGGTGTTGGTGCTTACAGTCTCACAGGGTTCAGATCTGTTGTCTGGCAGGAACACTGTGTGATCGGACAGGACTGGAAGGGAAACTGCTCTTGTCAAGGAGGATATGAATCCACCAGTAAAGTTTATAGTGTTTGAATGCTTCTCTAAAACTAGACTACATTCACAGCAACAGGTGTTCAGGTGTGAAGGAGTTAGGGAGTTACTGCAAATCGACATTCCTGTATGCAATGATAAGCGTGCGGAAAGTAGGAGCACACAAATGACTCTTAACCAAAGACCGCATGTTCCCACACTGCTCTATAGAACTACATGTAGTAATAAAAAGTGGGTTTGAATGAGATCTCAGCTCTCTGGATAAGCGAACCAGCTGCTTGTATCTTTGTCATAGAAAATACAGCCAGGATGAGTCAGATTACCTGGTTTCCAAGAGCATTAGCAGCTAATTAGTTAGCAATTACACTTTAAGCAAACACACTGGAACTATGCTTCTGCAATAACGTGATTTATTACAAAATAACACCAATATAGGACAAAGTGCACATAGTGTTTTCTTACTGGAAAGCTCATGCATTTGATGGGTTGAAGAGACAAGGCGAGTTTAAATATTCCATCGCTGAAAGCCTGGTGTCAAAACAGACGCCCTTGATTATTGTTTTACAACCTCTACACCGGCCCAACCCTATGGAGGAGGCTTTGGGGAAAATAAAGAAATAATAGTGATGAGAATCACAAATAAATCATTGTCTGATCAAAGAGGAAGAAATATGTGGATCACCTAAGGAGGGTTTTATTGCCTTCACCTTGGGACCACACATGTTGATGTAACTGCTGCTACATCTTCATCAACTGCCATTGCCAGTAGCAAAGACAGGATATTTAGATGGAGCTGCTACTCACCCATCGGCCAGTTGTCATACACGTGTTTGGCAATGTCCGCTGCTGAGTCGTTGGGAGAGAAGAGGAACTCTTTCGTCTTCCCGCTGACTAAAATGAGCCGCAGGTTTATCTGTAAAAAACAAAATATGCAGGTTGGACTCAGTCATGTCAGGAAGCATACAGGTTCAAGAGAGGTAATTTAATAGGACACAGAGGAAGGATATGAGGACCCTGAGGAGTGTCCCTCCGCTGGATTACCTCTCTTCTGTCTCGCAAACTTCCTCCTACATTTTTTCTCATGCCTCCAACACTCTGTTTCTTTGTCTTTAGTTCACAATTCGGTTACTTTGACAATTCTCAAGGCAGATGTTTTGCTTTGAAATGTTCCTTTGTCTGAGGTTGAAACTTGATGTATACTTTATTCACCCGTGTACAAAAAGCATTGTACACTATAGTCACCCAGGTTTAAATAGCATCTGATTTTAGAGGGTACATTCTCCAATTAAATAATCTTTTTTTTTCTGTATCACATTTTCAAGGTTGTTGTACTGGGTAAGAAGTACCCATTAAAAGCTTCGGGCATGCAGGCATACAGTATAAACTAAGATTCTGATCATTTATGAATGAGACTGTGGGTTATATTTGTAATTTCGACAAAACCAAACTTGGCTCTCACTGCGTGTAAAAAGCCCACAAAACACAAACAATTAGCTGAAATACTACAGGCTGTTAAAATGTGTAACCTGCCACAAATAGCTTATCTCAATAGTCAGTGGTGACAGCCAAGTGAAATAATAAATCACAAATAGTGTGAGACTAATGCTCACAGTGTCCAAGTCCTCTTTCAGCTACTGAACAGCACCCCAAGAGCAGGTTGTCATTATAGGATCTACTGCATTACTTATGTGGTGGGGGTACACTTTAAGATTACTGAAACAAACAACTTTGTACAAAACAGCACAGAATAAGCTTTATCAAAATCATTGGCTTGATGTGTTTAGCACAGGTACAGTTTTCCTTTAAGAGCCACATCAAAGCTCTGTGTGTTTGATTTAGCTTGATATATGTGTCTAGCCTGCAGTGCATGCATGGCATAAGCACGTGTGTGTCATTGTTTCTAGTGTGTGTCCATGTGCAAGCGCGTCTGTTGCCCAGTCTTCTGAGCGACACACACACACGTAGACACACACACTCGCACACAAAGTGATGTAACAGAGCAAACACCGACGGATTGAAACAGACATCTCTGTAAGCACGTTATCAAATCAGATTATAGGTTTAAGACTTAGATGAGAGATGAGACTTTTTGAGCTTCTGTTTTAGTTTTTATTTATATGCATCATAATATTGAGGATCAACCTGATATAGAGCTGCAGTATTTCGTGGACTTATCGATTAGTTGATCCACAAAACTCCTCCGGTAATCAATAAATTGTTCAAGTAATTTTTCATGAGTTTTGAAAATGCAAGTCATTTTACCTGTAGTAAATACAACCGCCTTTAATACAAGCAAAACCTGAGAAACACTGAATGAGATGAAGACATAAAATAATGAGGAAACACGCAGAGGTAGCAGAAGGTCTTCCTTCACCCCGTCTGAACACCTGGTCGTTACCATGGTGTTACTATGACGACAGCCAGTGGTGGGTGGCTTAACCTGATAACACCTACCAGATAGCTCCACCCCTCCTCCCTTCTGCCTCCTTACCGTTTCCTACAGTGTCACATCACATTGTCTTCTTCGCCTTGCAGCAATCTCCGCATCCCCTCCCTCCCCACTCTGTCTCTCTCTCCCCCACTCTGTCAATCTCTCGCTCTGCACAGCGTTCAGTGGAGGGTTTGTACAAGGCCTGAATAACAAAGAGGACTGAACTACAGTAGCTTCAATTAAACAACATAAACTCAGCATTCCTCTCCCTATCATTAACCCTACACAATCTCTTTATTTGCTTCTCGCCCCTTCTCCATCTTTCTTTGCTTCCTCTACTCTTTCATGTGATAGGTCATTTACTTCCTAAAGACAGGTGACATATATAACCCTTAATGGAAAGACACATAAATACAGATGCTTTCAGACAAGGTGCAAAGATCGAGAATGATGTCATTTGTATTAAATGGTGAACTACGGCCTTCATAGTCACCAGCTTTAATACCTACAGGGGGTACTAGTCACCAGCAGCGTTAAAACTCAAATAGAGGAGAGACATTCAGGATCATTGCCAGGAAACACTGAAGCTGTTCTATTGGTTAACGGCAGGTCAACACAAGGACACTTTGTTCATATTTTTGTCTTGTAATCTGTGTCTGGACAGGTGAGCTTTTAACATCCATTTTCCGTCTCTTTCGTCCCTTCAGCATGTATTTTGATTGTGATTTTAACTGAATCAAGGCATTGGATATCTCCTGCTCTTCTCCCTCTCCCTCCCCCTTCTCCCTGGTGGTCCATGTGCCTTCTTTCTCCCTTGACTCTCTTCCGCACCGGGGCTGATAATGAGGTTTCACCGTCAGCTCAGGGATGTATATTCAATTACTGTTTATATTCTGTAGAACAAACACAACAGCTTCAGGTATTGGGGGGGAGCATTGTTTCAAGCATTCATGCATAACCATAACTATACAGAACATACACATATCCGCAGGCAAACCGCCAGTTACTCGCGCTTCACAAATAGCACGTACTAGCTAACAACCAGTCTCTCTCTGCGTTCATGATGCCAGACAAGCTGAAGGTTTCACCAGTTTGCAGAGCTTGGAGAACTGCAAGATGTCAGATTGTTTGTAAAAGGAAACATCATGGTGCCCCAGCTTCTATTCATGTCCACTTCTGAAAAGAAATGGAATAAATGAAACTACTTGTGTATGAAAGTGGTGACACAGCTTCCTGTCTCCACTGCAGACATTCAAAAACATGCCTACAATAATGTGGCCCTGCTGCCAAGTCGTGCCATGGTATAAACATGTGAAGTAAGCAAACCCTCTCGGCTAAACACTGTTTGCACACGGTGGAGAGCAGGAAATTCAATGCCATCTATAATTATTCCTCCTTGAGTACCACTCTCAAATCTTTCTCAAGGCAATAGTGTGTGTGTGTGTGTGTGTGTGTGTGTGTGTGTGTGTGTGTGTGTGTGTGTGTGTGTGTGTGTATGTGTGTGTGTGTGTGTGTGTGTTTATATGTGTTTATATGTGTTTGTGTTTATATGTGCTTGTGTTTATAAGTACATTAAAGAGTATTGCTGCTCTTTAGAACCTCTGCAGCAGTCAACAAATTATAGAGTGGGAAGTCTTCCTGTGGGAATATATTAGAGCAGCTTTATATGTCGTCTGCACAGTAAGGTTATCCGCTGCTGTCAGTGCAGATCCCTGACTGTATGAATGAGTTTAAGAGAGGAGGTTGGTGATTATCCTGACTGGAGTCTGTTTAAAACAAGCCGCCCGGATCCAGCAGCCAGCCTGCTTTAACTTGCTGATTAAATCTGGAGAAAATTCGACTATAAACTCAAGAATGTAGCTATAAGCCGCAATTTAAGAAAACAAGTCCCACATGCATTATCAGTCGCCTATTTTATTGATAATTACTTATTTTCTTTCTAGCAAGGCTGCACATTTTAATGAATATTAAAATGTGTAAAATAGAAAACATAATAGGCTTGTTGGACAAACTGTAAACAAAGCCAACGAAAAAGAAGAAAAACAGCAGCCTGAAAGACACATCCCATTTGTTTAATTAGCCAAAACTGTGTCAATAAAACAGCTTTGCAAGCTTTTAGTGATTTTGAAAACACAAAAAGAGCTAGTGCAATGATTAGCCCCTATTAGCACACTCATTCTGTTTCCTTTAATTAAAAACACACTGAGAAGCGTGTTTTTTCAATGTGTGCTGTAGTCTGAGCTACATTATCTCAAATTTTACAATAACCAGCAAGTTGACCATATGTACTACTTATGGCGCATTTTCACTACAGTGCGGAGCGCGGTTTAAGCGTGCCGTGCCCGGCCCGTTTTGATTGCGTTTCCACTAGGCGTAGTTCCGGCCACAGCCATATAATAGAAGAGTTACGACATCTCCGTTCACTCCAATGGACCAGTTTTTTACAGCAATGGCGGATCGTGGAGCCTCTCAATAGTTCCCCGGAAGTTAGCTTGCCGCTAACTTTCGGGGAACTATTGAGAGAATCTGCAGCTAGCAGTCTATGGTTGCAGCACAATAGACCATTTGTGATGGACGTTTGAAGGTAAGAAGACGTTTAAAGATTTATATTGCGGATATTATCAGAACACCTGAATCAAATTAACTACACATGTGTATTAAAGGATGTTAGTGGATTATCCCTTCAATCAGTATATTTAACGTTTACAGATAACAGATTAGGCTAGGATACCGGAAAAAGTTAGCAACAACACACGTTAACCACGAACAGCCTATTAATCCGTTCTCCTAATGTTATTTCCTCCAACGTTGTGGAATTATAGAAAAGCGGCTTCTTAACGTGCTTTTATCCGGGATGGAGGGAGTTACATATGAATTAAATATAACATTGGGGCGTGTGATTGTAGTGGGTGGAGGTGGTGAAATGAGGATATCCATCTTGGAGTTCAAGCTAGTATAATATAGTTAGAGTTACACAATAATAAGGAAGAGAGCTATTTTTGTGATACATCGCTATTGATATGGATTTAGAGTGGATATTTGAGACTTCTAAACAGTAAACAAAAACATAACTTATGAGTGAGTGTTTTTAGCAGAGTCATATTATGTCTTTGTGATTCTGTTGATTATTACCTGTCTGTATTATGTTGCAGCTCAGCTGATTTTGGATTGATGGCAAAGGGAGAGGGACTTAAGTGAGAGTGAAAACACATGGTACGTTTAAAATAGGTCAGCAATTTCCCATCCTATAGGTTGCTAGATATCTAACCCCAGGGGATTCAATGGAGCCTGAAGACCTGCAATGAGACCCTCACCCTGCACCTGAGTCTCAACTCCCAGAGCTTTGCAAGCCTCTCCCTGTTCCTTATTTTTATTAAACAGACATTAAGCTTCCCAATGGTGTGGTCTTCGTTTTGTGAAAAATATGATTACCTCACATATGTTGTTGCTGTTGTTGTCTTTTGTGATAGTGAAATTGCTCCTGCTAACTTGAGCCAGCCATTCTTTCCTCCTCTCTGTGTCAAACCTTACATTTGTACTTCTTTCTCTGAGCGATTGGAGCATCACCAGGCAGCACAGCAAACCATGGGGGAGACTATATGCCAGGACAACACGGAGGAAAAGTCACAGACAAACTGCATGATATGCTATTCAATGTTTATTGAATTCCATTTATGTACTGTCAGTTAACAATCATTGATAGTCACCTGTCGGTCTCCTGTCCTTTCTGAAAGTCATAAAGAAGACATTACTTATTTAGATTACTTATGTCCTCAATTACCAGGGGATTACTGAAACCACCATGAATTAAAGAAATGGTAGAAATGAATCTAAATCTGAATTTTGAAGCCTTCCTTCCCTCCCTCTAAATATATCAAACATTAGGAAGTGATGCTCCTGACTACCATTCAAGTTTAAGAAGATACTATTTGTTTTAAACAATTCAAAGCAATAAACAACAGCAACAGGCTCTTTAACCAAGGCAACGTTAGCCTAACATATATGTTAACAGGTAAGATAGCTGTTCACACTATGTATATTTTCTGCTATTTTATTTCTATTTGAGATGTTTACATTTTCGATTGTTTAATTCTAGTTTTTTAACTGTCTTATGTACAATGCCTTGTCTTTTGCTGCTGCAAAGCAAACATTTCCCAAATTGGTATCAATAAAGTACTTCTTATTTTATCTTAATCCTCAAATATTAGCAAATTTAACTTTTTCAAATATTGATGTAACTACATACACATCGATATGTTGTATAAATATTGGAAATCAAAACCTTTATTCGTTATTACCAAAAATCGTAGTTCTATCTACGGTAATCATGCATTCAAAATAAAATTCAAGACTGCCTTAAGGACTTAAAAACGTGGATGACCTTAAACTTTTTGATGTTAAACACGACCAAAACTGAAGTTATTGTACTTGGCCCGAAGAATCTACGAAACAAATTATCTAAGGATATACTAACTATGGATGGCATTAATTTGGCCTCCAGTGAGACTGTAAGGAATCTTGGTGTTATATTTGATCAGGATTTATCCTTTAACGCCCACATAAAATCAATTTCAAGGACCGCCTACTTCCATCTACGTAACATTGCAAAAATCAGGCATATCTTGCCTCAAAACGATGCAGAGAAACTAGTCCATGCATTTGTTACTTCAAGGCTGGATTATTGTAACTCTTTATTATCAGGGTGTACCAAGAAGTCAGTCAAGTCGCTTCAGCTGATTCAAAATGCTGCAGCTCGTGTACTAACCAGAGTTAGGAAAAGGGACCACATTACTCCTGTTCTGGCTGCCTTACACTGGCTCCCTATAGAACACAGGAGAGAATTTAAAATTCTTCTTCTCGCCTACAAAGCCCTTAATGGGCAGGTGCCATCTTACCTTAAAGAACTCATTATACCCTACTGTCCTACTAGGGCATTGCGTTCCAAGAATGCAGGGTTGTTGGTTGTTCCTAGAGTCTCTAAAAGTACAATGGGAGCCAGAGCCTTTTCTTATCAAGCTCCACATTTGTGGAATCAGCTTCCAGTTTGTGTTCGGGCGGCAGACACCCTATCCGTTTTTAAGAGTGCGCTTAAGACCTTCCTTTTTGATAAAGCTTATAGTTAGGGCTGATTAGATTCAGCCCCTAGTTTTGCTGATATAGGCTTAGTTTGTCGGGGGACATCTTACTTCTTCCTTCTCTCTGTCTATACCTGTGTACTCTCATGTTCCGATTAACCCAGCTTCCCCAAATGTCTTTCTTTTTGGTGTCTATATACGCCGGGATCCGGAGTCATGGATGATCCTGCGCTCCTCTGTCCTGGATCGCGAGCCCTGGATCTTGAGTCGTGGCTGTGGTCCTGGATCATAGGTCCTGGATGGATATCCTTGTGGATTCATCTTCCTATTATACACACATGCATTTCCAAACATTTGGACTACCTATGTTGCAAATGTATTATCTTTTCAATTTACACACTGCATCTATTGCACGTCTGTCCGTCCTGGGAGAGGGATCCCTCCTCTGTTGCTCTCCCTGAGGTTTCTCCCATTTTTCCCTTTAAACTGTGGGTTTTCTTCAGAAGTTTTTCCTTGTACGATGTGAGGGTCTAAGGACAGAGGGTGTCGTATTGTCATACTGATATTTTGTACAAACTGTAAAGTCCACTGAGACAAATGTAACATTTGTGATATTGGGCTATATAAATAAACATTGATTGATTGATTGATTCATATGTCCCACCACGAACTTCCGGGGAACTATTGAGTCTCCCTGAACCACGTGACGATCAAGCATTTTGGACTTCCGTTGTCGTAACTCTTCTCTCTATATGGCGCTGGTTCCGGCTAGCGGGTACTTTTTCACAGTTTTCTGGCTCTCCAAAATCGAGGTTCTTTCCGGGCCAACAACCGGGCTGAGTATGCTAAACTAGTGAGAGAATCTACAACAAAATGAACATATTTTACCGTGATTTAATTGTAATACACATTTCAAAATGATGCCGAAGTAACAACATACAGATACCGGTTAGTAAAAACCATGAATTAATGCTTTGACAAGTCTGCAGACAGACGGCAGGCGAAAAACCTTTTAAAATGCGTGTTGTCTAAATGGAGATCGGCCAAGCTAACGTTGTATATGCTCCGACCGTCCACACTCACAACAACGGCCTATACAGACATAAATAAACCAGCGACTGTATTCACTATGACACAGACAGTCTGTGGTTTGTACTTCTTTAACTTTTGTCTAGTTTCTGAACAGCTATGAGGAGCTGTGGCTCCGAGTGCTAACAGCTAACGGCTGATGTTGTTTTTGTGTTTCGCATCGAAGATGACGTCACGGCTCCGCCTACACTGCGTTACTATAGTTACTACCCCAGTTCCTAAACTGTAATGGAAACGCAGCATAAAGTGAGCCTGAACTACCAAGGCCTAACTATACCGTGCGAGGCCCTGCAGTGGAAATGCGACAATAGTGTACTTCACTGCAGACAGCTTAGGGATGCCACAGAAATGTTCACTGCAGTTCAGATCTCGAAATAAACAGTAGGACCTTGACCCGGCTGAAGTTTGTTTATTATTAACTTTATAACCTTTATAGGGCACTTATCTATAAGGTATAGTGCAGTGGTTCTCAAGTGGTGGGTATCGGACCCGTTTCGAGTGGGTTGCGGATGTGTAAGTGAAAAAAAACATTGGAATTCTTTTTTTTGCGGGAAAAAGTCAAACTTTTATTTTGAAGGCCCGATTTTCTAACGCTGTGCATGCAGTCGGCGTTGGACTGGAAGTAACGGAGACCATAAACGGTTTGGAAAACTTCTGTCACGTAGTGATCATCTTCTCAATAAAATATCTTTGCTGATGTTTTTTCGAGTCTTCTGACCAATCAGAATCAAGATTGTTGCCGGAAGTCCCCACGGAGAATAACTTTGCGGTAGAACTCTTCTTTATACATCCATGGGTACAACTTCAGATAAAAATGAACACATAATGAAATATGACCCCCGGTTTTATGATTGATAGGTCAGAGAACAATGGGAGCTATCTACCCTTACCCACAATTTAAAGTAAGTCACACAGACTATCTCCTCTTTATTCTTCTCGCAGCAAGATGTCAGAACAAAGTGAAAAACAAACAATGGCATGAAATATTATTAATATGTCGGGTAGTAATAGATTTATTTATTTTCTTCTCAGAGTGTACCAGAATGCATAGTTTATGTTAGTATTTCTAAAAATCTCCTGGGGGAGAATCCCCCCAGACCCCCCTGCTGGTGTTGGGTTTTCAGCATGCGTGCCTTTTTATATAGTTCAGCTTTGATTCCATCATCTCATTAAACCTTTTTTAAAAGCATACTTTAGTTCTGTGAAGGGATTATGCACTGTACTTCACTTGTATTAATATTGTATGCTGAAAAGCGTATATATTACAGCACGTTTTTTTGTTGAATAGATTTGATTGCTTCAAAATGTTGGGTCGCGATGTATTGACCAAGTAAAAAGTGGGTCCCGAGGCCTGACCAGTTGAGAACCACTGGTCTAGTGTGTCATGGTCTGTTGTGGCCTACTTAACCAACACCTTGTATTACATAACACGCACCATATGCAAAACATTAGGTATCTGCTGTTTCCATGATGGACAAAGGTTGGAGTGTGAGTCAACAAGTGAGGTATTACTACTGCAACGTACAAGGAACTGACCGAAAGCTGCAGAGTGAAAACAATTACCAACAAAAAGCTGCTGTTCTTAAGACAAAAATAAATATACAATCCGACTGGTCAAGTTTATTCCAACACTGCAGACTATACCAATGGTCATACTCTGATGGTTGTCAGGCCAACACGTTTGGAAACCAGGGAGCTAGTTATTCATTGGTGGCGTTTACTCATGCATGTTCCGATATCAAATCAAGTAATCAAAATAAGGCACCATGATATTATAACAATTGAAGCTGGTCTGGATGACAGGTACTTTGTTACCTATGGTAAGGTAGGATAAGATAAGATAAGATGAATACATATCAATGTATTTGTGCAGTGGTCAACAATCTGTTAGAGTAGCGTTAAGTTCTCGGTATATTATGTACCTGTTCTGTGTGTATTTAATGTCATATATACATTTGTGGTGGAATTTTTTTTGGCTATGCTTCAGTGTCGTTAATATGAAACATTTATTTTTCTAGATTTAGTAGATCATTGTTCTTTTTATTGCACACAATGACCAGTGTTTGCTTAAAGGTGTTTGCTTACAGTTAATGGCTCAGCAAAGCATTAATAGACTTTCTTGCAACATACATGACCACTCGGCAGGAACATGATCAATGTCTGAGTTGCATTCATATTTCAACTTGGAATTTAAACATTATCTTAGATCATTAATACATTTCTGGTTTTTGGTAAGTTTTTATGTTAAAGAGATTCAAATGTTCTGTTTCTAAACTAAATATACATCATTAAATACTCCACTTTAAAATGTTGAAGCTTTGAGGTTCGCTGTTAGTGTTATCCACACTAGTCAACCTTTAGTTTAGTGTTGGTAAAGTGACTGAGTTTGTTT